ATTTTTTTCCCTAATAGCGACGGCCAGCCAATTTTTATCCCGAATAGCGACGGGAAGCCATTTTTTTCCTAATAACTATACATCATTAAAACAAACTAGTTTAAATCCTCTTTATGCATAAATTCTACTTCTTCTTTAGAAAGCATTGAACTGTATAATTTGTTTGAATGGACTAATTGCAGCGGATTAAAGAGCTTTCAATTCTCTCTCTAATGAAATGCATTCGCTACTCAAATTCATCGTAACCTTATGTGAATTGGCTTTTAAATAGTTTCAATAATTCCCTCTTGGTTATACAGCTAAAGTTTTCTTTACCGTTTCATATCGAGTCCAACGTACGACACTTTGTTAGTTTTGTTGCATTTTTCATCTCTTTTAGTACACGAATTGCTTTATATTCAAGTAAAATAAAATGTCAAAGAAGGTTATGGTTGGATAATAAATGAAAAAAAGATTGTACAAAAATACGAACTCTGTATTTTAGCAGGTTTCAGTAAAATAGAGCAGTGGAGGTTTCTGATGTGATAAAAGGTTAGAGACATCGAAGCATCCTCTATATGTCCCACGAAGAGAATTGGATCTCACAAAGTTTTAAAGAAAAGTAAATCGAGTACCTGATAAGAAAATGAGTTAAATGGAAGAATTAATTCAAAAACGATTAGTAGCTATTTTGTCTTCTAATCAATTCACTGATGGATGTATGGATTGGACCCAATGAGGTACTGAAAATGATACAATAGAGATACTCATTTTTTAATATATAGAGAAGTATATCAGTGAGATATAAAAGATTGCTTGTAAGAATTTTTCAGAAAACAGTTTGCTCTTTATTCAACATACCGATTAACTTTCTAGTAATCTGTAAGCACATTTATGAGGTATCCACCTGTGTTTTAGATTCCATCTAAATAGTTCGCCTCGAACATAAGGGACAACTATATTGAAAACAACACGTATCAGAGAATTTTTAAGGTTTTCAGTGAGAAAAAGAATCGTCTAGTATTAAAAATTAAAACAATAGATTCTATAAAAACATGCAAGAAGGTTAAAAACGGTATAACATGATTAAAAGAAATACATTAAATTAGAGAAAAGTTGAATATTCAACTGTTTAACTAATTGTACGCGTAACGAGAAATTCCTCTTATCTTTACGATTTTAGTGTTGTAAAAAAAAAATGGTCAACATTAGTATCGACATATATTCGAACAACAAAACGAAGATCTATTAGAAAAATAGATTTTCCTAAACTTTTAAGTGACCTTTATACAAGTTCTTTCTCGTCGGGTGCTGTACATGGTGGATTTCGACGTGCTGGCATCTGGCCATGGGATGGTGATGCAATGAAAGATAAAGTTGTTCGTCGAGCTTCATCATCGAATATTCTTACTACGAATGAGTAAGTAACGGTAGAATTATTTATTTTTTTTAATTAATGCATTTTAGTTTGTCGGCAAGTAGTATTTTATCAAGCTTGGTGGATGAAATTCGTACATCAAATGTTGATACAAATAATTCTAATAATTCATCAAGTGCAATTCAGATGGATATTGAGTATGTTTATATAGTTTAAATTGTCAAATAATCCACTACACAAATCATGATTAACTAGGCTAAGTTAGGAATCATTTTATTTGTACAATATTTGAGATTACTTACAAATATAATAGTTTTAAAATATTTATCGCATAAAGCGCTGTCATTCATTATAGTTTATCCTGACAATAATATTCTACCTTTCATTGTCTTTTTGTTAGATGCATCTTTCCTTATATGTCTTTCTACTTTATTCACTGATAGCAGTCTCCCTCCTTACTTGATACTTTTATACAAGATGCAGCTGTTCTATTTTTGTATTAGACTTTTCTGTTTTCTTCCTGAGTAGCTCAATTTTAAGTAAAACTATTGATTGTTAAAGTTGCTCTTCTATTGTAATAATATTCAAAACTCTTGAATATCTTTTCTTTTGTATAGTTTACCACCATCTTCATCTCGTCGTCAGGTAACTTTTGATGACGACAGTAGTGATGAGAAGTATGAAACTAATCAACTCTCATATTTTTTTTCATTCATATAACTTATTTTATACTTTAGTGATTTGGATATGGATATGGATATTGATTCATCAACAAAAAAAAAGCCAACGAACATTCATTATGGTCAGATTTTATCAATATCTTTTCGATTATTCTTTTCGTCAATATATTCTAGATTCAGATGAACATTTGGATAGTTCTTCTAATCAAAATAATGGTGATTTAACTAATACATCATCATCAATATCAATTCAACTTAGTCCTACATCAACTATTCGAACAATAATTTCCTCTTATGTACGAAATAATAATGAATCTGTTCAATCAAAACCAGTTAAATTGAATCGTCGTGTACGTATTGAACGAAAATTTGGTGAAGATATAACCAATGGAAATCTTTTACAGGAATTAAAAGAAAAGGCAGAAGCGAAAAGAGTACAAAAGAAAAAAAAAGTTCCACGAGAATCTCAACGATCATCCAGAAAAACGGATTAATGGAATTTTATTTATATCCTACCTCATTCTTTGTACATATGTCATTGTACATTAATTTTTATTATGTTTTAAACTAGTTTGTTTTAATGATGTATAGTTATTAGGAAAAAAATGGCTTCCCGTCGCTATTCGGGATAAAAATTGGCTGGCCGTCGCTATTAGGGAAAAAAATAACTGTAGTCGTTATTCGGGAAGAAAATTGGCTTGCCGTCGCTATTTGGGAAAAAAATTGGCTGGCTGTCGTTATTAAGGAAAAAAAATAGCTGGCCGTCGTTATTAAGGATACTTTTTTTCTGATCGGTCTTAGTTGTCTTCATTTCAAACTATGTATCTCGTGATGAGAACATTGAATCTTCATGAACCTTTAGATGTAGGTAGAACCCGACTTGCTCTACAAAATTGCCAGCGAGACCCTACCTTGTTTTACAAGTGAAAAATGTGAAAAAACGTTTTTTCCAAAAAAGATACATTTTTTGCTTGAATTTTCTTAGAACGTCGTTATTTGGGAAAAAATTTGGTTTGCCGTCGAAATTAAGGAAACTGCACTAAATAACGACGGATGGAGTCCCCGATCGTAGACCGCTGATATCTCCACCACAGTACGATTTAGAGAGGCCGTGATCATGCCATTTGAAAGAGGAGACTCCAAGGATTATCCAAATATAAAAATATTTTCAGTCGAATGTAAAATGACTGAGAACGGAATCAAACAAGAGATGTGAAAATTTTCCCGTCGTTATTAGGGAAACTGTCTCTATGCTAGATTTTCTCTTGAGAACATGGGTCCCAAATGAAAAACTATAGGCATTGATATTTAACTCACAGAATGAGTTTCTATCAAGAAAAATTTTCAATAGGAGTTTACAAAAAAAAAGTAACATTTTCCATAGCTGCCCCCCCCCTCGTCCACCCCCTCAGAAAATATTTCATGGTCTTCATGATGTCTCTTTTTCGAGAATTCCATCGAAATCTAAATCAAAATTTTATCGATAGATTTCAAATATATTTAAAAAAATTCACCCATCTAGATTCTAGGACATTTTTAAGGTTCAAAGCGTTTCGAAAAAACTTTTTCAGGAATTCAAAACACCATAACTTCTGAATAGATGAATTTTTTTAAATGATATTTGAAATCTGTCGATAAAATTTTGATGTAGCTTTCGATGAAATTCTTGAAAAAGAGACATCGTGAAGAATATGAAATATTTTCTGAGGGGGCGGGCGGGGGGAGGGAGGGGCAGCTAAGGAAAATGTTACTTTTTTTTTCTAAAATTCCTATTGAAAATTTTTCTTCATAGAAACTCATTCTGTGAGTTAAATATCAATGCCTATAGTTTTTCATTTAGGACCCATGTTTCCAAGAAAAAATCCAGGATACTGAAAAATCTTGGCTCCGACACTAGTTAACACGTTATATTTAATAATAATAATTTGTTACTCGTTCTAATTTATATTTTTATTAACAAAAAGAAAACTAATTGCTACTAAAATAAGAAGAAACTATTTCATGTTCGACTAATAAAAACATGAAGACTTTCATATCATAAAAAGAATAAAAACAAAGCAGATGAAAATACAAAATAATAAGTGATAAACGTAACAATGAATGCTTATTATCTATTGTCAAGTAATAGTAATAATAAGGAATAGTTATGAGAACTAATAGTAATCTAGTATCCTAGTATTCTATGTCTAACATATTATCGAACATTTTGTTTATAATTGAATTGTTGATGTTAGAAATATTCTTGCTCATTCATGTATTAAAAATTTATGAAATACAATTATATGAATGTTTTATGGATGGATGATTAGTTTTAAATAAAACAAAAACAAAAAACCATAGGTTAAGCCAAGTCAAAGATCGATAACCAATAGATCATGACTAGGATTTTTTCGGTCTTGTATAGTCCATTGAGACCTTTGACAGGTATAATCTGAATGACTTGATAATGACAACAGTTAGTGATCTGCAGGTTTTAGTAATCAAATAAGGACAATTATTGACGGCTGTTTATCTGATATGATACAGAGGTGCCGGCCTGGCCTGCTATTTGCCGAGTCTTCAGGCCATCCACCAGGCCAGGATGAATTTTCAAAATTGAACTTGGCTTAATTTTCTATGCAAAAAAAGCATGAAATTTCGGAAAATTTCGTAAATTCGACAATAAAAGGTTTTGATAACTCTTACTATTTAGTACTAATAAATCCAGTTTTCGACACGCTTTAATTTGGTACAAAATTCATTGGGTATTCATCTTGAGATTATAGCGCTACTTCCCTAGCAAAAGGTTATGCACAACCCGGTAGAATACTTTTCTCTAAACGGGACCAGATGAGACTTACTGAAGACACATCCGGGACCACTAGAAAAGAAGTTACCGGAGCTAGTACCAAAAAACTCAGTCCCGTACATCCCTACTCACAACAAATGACAAGTGCCATTAGTGTTGTTCATATACTAGAAACAGTAGACAATACTCAACGATTGTTCACTGATAGTGATGCAATTCGAAGGAAAATAATTCGCATAATTCTCACTTCAATACTCTCATTGTCTCTTGAAAGCTATACATCATCTACGCAAGCATACATGAACGAACATCATTGCAGTGGCGAGTCCAGGCAACCAGCGAGGAGATGGCAGTCATGGTCAAAAAACGCTTTTCGAATACCATTCGAGGTAGTATAACCTCTTTTTTTCGATTCTGCTGAGCAAAAATGAGAAAAACATTTCACTCGTGGGTGGTGATCGCCGCTTTGCCACTCCACTCTTAAATCTGCCACTGCATAATTGTTTTATAGATAGTAAAAAATTAGATCATTTTCCTATTGAAAAAGTATACAAGAAAAAAATATAGTGTATATGCTAAAGTAAGTTAATTGATATTCTATATTATGAGATAAAAAAATAAGAAGAAAAAGATTGGATAAATAAAATGTTTGTTTGTTTTTCATCATTAGCATGATACTATTCATCATCGTTTGCTTCATCGTCTTTAGGATCACCAAGAGCATCGTTCACTTGTTCAACTTGTAAATAACGTTCACCCTGTACATCTATCCAATATTTGTTGATATTTAATTGGCGTTTAGAAGTTGACATTCGACTTTCAATATTAAGTGCAATACGTGCTCGTTCTAAATGCCTTTTTTTAATAAGAAAAGTATAATAATAGTAATAAAACGTAGAAATCAATAAAACCAACCATAATTTTTTTGCACTTTTTTTCACATCTGCATATGTATCACCCATCATAGCAATGAGTAAATTTAACAAAAGAATACTAATAACCACAACATAAAGAATAAGTAATAAAGCACCTACCAATGGATATGGTCCTTCGATGTAATAATCTAGATCAAAATTACCCAATAAGCCTAAGAAACATTGTTTTATGCTTGAAATATAACCTTGCAAACCTACAATGAATCGAAGTATAGGTTATCTGTATATTTATTCATTCTTTTCACCCTTCACACAATTTACCATTTCCATTGAATAATATAAAAAAACATTGCGAGAAACCAGTGAGAAAAATGATGTATATTATACAAAAACGAAGAACATCATTGAATAACATTTTATAAATCATAATCACAAATGGACCAGTAAATCGAAATGGCATAGTGAAAAAGAACATATAACTCCATCCAAGAAGAGAAGCAAAAGCAAGAATGACAGTTTCATGTTGCATATCAAACAGACGAAGAGTTTGTACAGTAAAAATACAAAAACAGAATGAACATGCCAAAAAATTTTCAAGAAAAATAGATCCCTAAAAAATTAGCATAATCAATTGAATCTAGATGAATAAAAAAAGTAATCACTCACTGCACTGTTCCAATAATTCCATAAACCCAAAGTACACATTTCGTTTATTTCATATGCACTTTTCCATAGAGCACCTTCTATTACAATGAAACGACCGACTGCAGAGATTATTTGACGACTAAAATCCAAACTTTTACCATCAGTTGTTACTGTTTTATCGTTTTCATCTGCTGTCTAAAAACATATTTCATAGTTAAACAAGATGTTTTATTAAATTACCGTTTCTGACGGTGCTTGTTCTAAAATTGTAGTGATAAGAAAACTGAGAAGATAGACAAACGTCAAAAAAAATCGTCGAATAAGAATTCGATAAGCAAATTGTTTCCATTTTTTGTCAATTAAAGATATAATAATAGGATGTACTAATTTTGGATCATTATTTTTAATCATTACTTCAAGTACACTGAGAGGTCGTTGTTTGCCCTGAACAAAATCAAATAAAAAATCCAATAGATATAAATATGAATATAAATTGACTTACCTCTTTTTGAAAATCAAGATCGAACTGATCTAGTGGATGTAATACACATGAAACATTACCATAAGACCATTGTATTTTTTTACGTTCATAAAGTAACCATGACAACATTTTAGCCTGACCTAAGTCAGCTGCTAGAGTTAATGGTGTTAAACCATCTTTATTTAAACGATTCCACAATTTCACAATTTCAATTGATTTTGAGTTTCTAGATAATTTTTGGTCGGTAACAGTCTGTTGTTCTCTCCAACGTGCTTTGAATTTGGCATACATTTCAGGTAAATTGCAGATAACAAGCATATGCAGAATGGTATTATCATTGCTGTCTGTCTAAATATAAATAATATAAAGAAATCAGGTCAGAGTTTCTTCAAATGATGTCCTTATGAAGAAAAAAATTATTCGAAAGCCAAAACCAAAAAGCTTCTCCCATATCTCTACAGTTAGGAATATCTCAGTTAAAATCTAAACTGAGATATTTATTATTATTAATTTTTTAGCATTCAATCATTCGATATTTCTTTTTTACTGACCGCATCCATGTCCGCGCCATATTTGAGTAAGATTTCAACCATATCCCACTGGTTAGTACAACAAGCAAATCCTAATGGTGTTTCACCATAATAAGACGGTTGATCTCTAGAAGCTCTAATATGAAATAAAACACAAGCAGAAAAGTACTTTACCTTTGAAAGAAGTCACCTGTAGCAGTAGCTGTCAACAATTGTTGTCGATATATCTTTAAGTTATCATTACTAAGCAACCATTCAACCATAGTTGGACTACGTTTGACGATAGTAATATGAAGAATATTCTCACCATAATATCTCTAAATAATCTAATTATGTGTATCATTCAAATAAACATCAATATATATAGGGTGTAACAAAAACACGAGTAATGCTCGTCCATGTGACTCGCTGGACCCTCGGCTAGATTTTCAGCTCTTAGTGCTATATACTGTTTTGCAGTCTTCAACAAAGCTAGTATCCAACGTTTCAAAAGGGTGGGTAGGTGTGTAGAAGTTGATTTTAGCGTCAGTTTCGTTATCCACAATGATATGCAGGTCTGTATGATCATTGTCATAAATTCATCTAATCAAGCTGATATCCGCACATTGATACTAACTGCAATCTAGATGAGCCACACTACGGCAGTAGTATCCTCACACATCCGAAAAAAAGAGATTATATTTAATTTTTTGAGAGATCACGAAGCAAAACGCGTTGGCGACACTATTGTGAAAACACGCCATACTTTTAAAAATTCTACTACAAGTCCGTATGCTTACCACCCATGGAAAAATATTGATATAAAGAAACGAGTAAAACCAAGTTTTCGACGAATTGGAACGCATTTTATTGATTTAGAACGCGTTCTTTATCAAATCGATCCGTTCGAATGCGTTTTTATCGATAAGCAACGCGTTTCTTTTGAGGACGAACGCGTTCGTAACGAGCGCATTCAAATCGAAAAGAACACTTCTTGAAAGAGCTCATTATAACTCGTTCAAGAAAAATGCGTTCATGTAACTGAAAAGCGATCATCTTAGAGATGCGTCAAAACGTTAAAAGAAGACCGCGTTCTTACAACTTCAGAACACGTTTCTATCGTCCAGTGTGAACGCGTTCAAAATCGTATAGAATTGATTCCGGAATATGGACAAAAAATTGACGCATTAAAACACGACGTCAATAGGAGTGTTTCCACATTTTGATATGAAAATATTTGTTCCTAGCTTGTATCACAGTAAAAGAGAATTGCTGATTGCCGATGGAAAATATTGGCAGAAAGAAACGAACAAGAACGTGTTCCTTTAAAAATTGAACCGTTCGAATGCTTATTTATTGATGAGTAGTGCGTTACTTATGATGAAAGACGCGTTAGTTACGAACGTGTTTCGTACCGGGAAGACACTCTTTCAAAAGACGAGTCGCAACGTGTTGAAGAATAAATCATTTCTGTAATTGAAAACCGTTCATCTTAAAAACGCGTCAAAACATTTAAAGAAGAGCACGTTCCTACAGTTCCAGAACGTGTTTCTTTTCTCTGATAAGAACGGGTTCAGAACACAATCCAATTAATTTCTGAATATGAATAGCAATACATTAAATTGATGCACAACATGAATCGAGCAATTTGCATGCTATGATATGAGGATGTGCTTCAGATAGTATCACAGAAAAAGATGGCTTTTAACTAGTTAAAACAATAATCTTCCATAAAAGTTGTTATAAATATTTTTTGCGGAGTTAGCATGTTCGTTGTAAGGCGAAGTTTTTGAGGCTTCTCCAATCATATCGATTAGAAGCTTCAGTAACCTCTCTCATAAAATACCTTAACATTAGGGATTAAAGACGCTGGATAATATTAATGATCAAGCATAAATCGTCCTAGAATATTTTTTTTGAATTTTCCAAATCCTTTGGTAAAATCAAATAACTCAAATTTCTTTATGAACGTTTGAAGAAATGCATTTTTTGAATTTTTATACAGAGACCATTTTCAGTTTTATTCTAAATCTGAACGATGATTGCTAGTGATACATTGGTCTAACGCTATTGTCATACGACCAAAACGAAGTACATAAAACGATCTAGGTTTAATTTCAAAAACTAAGCAATTTCAGTGTTTGTGTGTTGATAGAAATATAAATGCGGTAACAATCGTTGCTGTGAACATAATAAATATGTAGCAGAAGAAAAAAAATGTTCGACTCACTATTAGAGACTTTTTTCTATTTTAAGAAAATTTAAAATATTTTCGCATGATAAACTGAAATTTTAATGCACTCTATGAAAATTAAAAAATTTTTCTCAACTCCATTTTTCTTGAAGCAAATATTTAGAACAGCATTATTATACTATTAGTTCATTATTTATGAAAATAACAATTTTAAATTAAGAAAATCGAAATACAAAAATGAAAACTACATAGCGAATAGCAGTAATGAGAATAAAAAAATAATGCACCTGTAACAAAGAAAAAATCTTCTATTGAAAATGCAAAGATAAAATAGAGCGGAACATTAGTTTAGTAATTGATTATCTTTTAATGCAACTAGAGTCTACGATAGACTTTATTTCACACATCTTGTATTGAATAAATCAGGCTAATGAACATGTGTAGATGGCACATTTAAGCTTCAAAAGGATCGTCATGACACGTTGTTTTAGAGAGTTTTTTAAATCTTTCTTCTTTAAGTTTATATTTTATCTTGTATTTACAAAGTAGTAATTGCGAAAATTTTGATCGATTTCAAATATTAAAAAGAATATTTTCCAAAATGTAGACTACTCGCTGTTTCAGATTTACTAATCGCATTTGGATTTCCGCTCATATTCATTATTTACTTCTGCTCACAGTAGAAATTTGTGGTGCCGGTTCCTAGTTCATATTTAATTTAAATTTTGTAGATTTAATTTTTTTTAAACTTATGTTTTCAAATTTTCTAGAAACTTATATAATTACTAAAAACGAACTAAAATCACTATAAATTCAATTTAAATACATTTATTTAGATCCAAATTCCATATAAACTATTGTAAATGGATTTAAATTGATTTATCAATTCAGATTCGATTGGAATAATTTGTATAAAATTTTTAAAGCATCACGAAGTAAAATATGATATAAATTTAAATTTACAGTATTTAAATTTCCAATTATTTAAATTTTCTAAAATATTAATTAAAAATAAACTTTAATCTTGAAAATTCAAATTTCTTTAAATTAATTCTTGAATTTGCTAAACTTTTGTAAATGCAAATGGACTACCCTTTGTACAAATTCTATGCAGTGAAGGCAGAATAGACACAAATTTTGTTTAATACAAGTAGAAAATCCAACAGTTTAAAAATACGTGAGTTTAGTTCAATCGTATATGCATGGCTTCGTAATTACAAGTTCATCTGGTCGAATCTACTCCACGGTAAAGAAAAACCGAATTCGGACGCGTTCAATAAAAACGAAAGTACCCTGATAGAAGAACTAGTTGTGTCAGAACGCATACGAATAATGAAGAAATCCGTTCAAGATTGTCGTCGACTTCAAAAGGAAACTGCTTTTTTACTTCAAAACAGTAACATGTTCTTTTTGCGAAAAACGCGTTCTCATTGAACTCGTTGTGAAGATGCTTTTAGTGTTTTTCTGAAACGCGATTTATTACCCAAGAACTGTTTTTCTAATATAACGTTCTTAATATATCAGAACGCGTTCTTTTTTGCTAAAAAACGCGTTTAAAAAGAACGCTAAAAGCGTCTTGCAAACGCGTTTTTATGCATTCTTTTTTGTCCTTCTTTTTCGCATGGGCAGCACATCTACTGACAGTATTGTTTACTAGAGCGTTCTCTAGAAAAATAAGAGAGTAGCTGAACTTCTAGCTTAAACTAAATCATATTATATCTGATCTGTAATCGAAATACCATGCTTGAAAGAAGTTGCAACTCAAGGTAGTCGTCAGACTAGGCAGGTAGTCGGAATATACCGGTATACATTCCGACACATGAATGAACGCAGACAAAAGCACACATCAATAGAAAAACCCCCTTTTATTTCATTCATCTCTACTTCCGATATAGCAAATATAAATTCTTTGAGTGATGTTTTCCGTCAAATGTACTATTCACATATTGTGTACGTGCAAAAAGAACTGTTCTCACACTTTATTTCAGAATATTTCTCAGTTCTTAGTCGCTGCCAGCACGTATTCAAACCCATTAGATCTAGACTGTTGACGTTTATCCGATGAATCCCAACAGTTTGAGGCGGTTCTTCAGGGGATTTCTCAGTGCAGCGGCTAGTCGCTCGTCGGCGCCCCGGTGGGAGGCCACTCACACCTAGCCGCTGCCACGTGTAATTCTATTTCTTCATAGCTACATCCTTTTTTATTTGCACTCCACCTGATCCGAGAATCAGCTTACTTCGAAAATTCGTTACGCTTTTGGTACGAGAGTTCTCGATGGGAATTTCTAAACTGAAGCTTTGTTGTAAACTATTCCTGATTTCTTCAACTTCATTGTCTAGCTGGAAAATCAGAGTTTTATTGAAATTCCTCATTAAGGAAATCTTAGTGCAGTATTCTCAAAAAAGTCTAGTATGGTTTCCAAACCACCAGAGACATATACTGATAGGAAAACTCATTTTATTTCATTCGAATTTGCTTCCGATAGAGCGAATATAGATTCTTTGAATGATGTTTTCCGTCCAATGTACTATTCAGATATTGTACCCGTACAAAAGGATCGTTCTAATACTGTATTTGAAAATATTTC